GTGAATGTTAGAGTAGAAGAAACAGAAATCTTGAGTCTTTATTTGCGTTGTATCCCATTAGTGGTTTGTGTATATTTAGCCATTTCGGCCTTAACCAAAATCAAATAGTTTTCTTGTACATCTCTAGATCTCTCTCACTCACTCTATCTTTTGCTATGTTTCTCGAGAAAAATGTTGTATAAATAAAAACAATGTGGGGTAAAAACATGGTTTTTAATTGGCTGTACAACATTGACCTGGCGTACGTGACGTATGAGTGATATTCATATGTATTTGTGAATGACTTGCACAAATAGCTGAGAGAAATGGCCGAGAACAAGAGACGGTTAAATGCCGACCAGGAAGAGGATGGGGGATAAAGATGTTGGCCAAAAAGGAAAGGGAAGAGGATGCAAAAACAAAAAAAAGAAGAAGGAGAAAACAAGAAATGGGAAAGGGAGAAAGAAGCACGAGATGGAGCCAACCAACGAGTATGAGAACGTGGACGAGAAAATCCACTAGCGAATCTACCCGGTGACCCAGGCGACTAACGGGACATGCGAAGATGCAGTGGCAAAGATACAAGTACAGGCTGACAGGGCTCCTCATGCACACAGATACTCAGCTGCAGGATACACTCACTCACACATACATACACAAAACAGTTCACATACACTAGCCCACACACTAACCCGCCTCACACAGACACACAACATACACACACACATGTGAGTAGCACATAAATGCAGGCATTAGTACACTGTACAAAATCACTTATCAGTTGGTAGTTTTACTTAAATTTCAATATTAAGAGATTAGAAACTTGAAAACTCCGAGGCTAGAAAGCCTTTGATTACTTTGACTAATAACTTATCTATAAAATCTTCCTTCCTATTTAATGATTTTTAAAGAATATTCTTAAATACTTATTTGGTTTAATTTCCTGATGATTTACTAACCAATTTTTGTTAAAAAATTAATGAAACCAAACCTTATTATATAACTTAACGCTAATCAAACTATAAACAGCATTACCCAAGGCAGTTAACTCTTTTGTATTGCAATTTCTTAAGTTAATTAACCTGATAATTAGCTATTAGCTTGGCCAATATAATTACCAATTTTTCTCACGGTGTGTGAGTGTGTGTGATGCGTTTTGTTTGTCATGAGCGCGGTTGGCATCCAGCCTACGAGGCCCCACACATCCGCTTCCCGCTCCCTGGCGCTCTTATCCTGGTGGGAGGAGGACCTCCGCCAGCTGGTGCTGCTGCTGCTGCTGCTGCTCCACCTCCATCTCCCCACATCCTCATACCATGCCAAATGTCCCTCTGCATCGCTCGTTTTCCTGTCATACCCCACACATTTTTCATTACACACTCTGTCCCTTGCAGCAAACGAAATTTTTGGATGCGCCTCGCGCGTCTTGCCACGGCGGCTTGTACTTTGCCACACTCGCACTAACACTCAGACACTCTCGACCACACACACACACACACACAAACGCACACAGAGACAGGCCAATACATGCATATATTCAGGAATACACACACACACACACACATGTGGCCAAACAATATAAATCACCAGCACTCACACAAACGTGTTTGCGACAGTGGTGGAGTTTTGAGGGGCGCCGACCAGGACCAGGAAGTAGGATGAAATATCGATTTAATATAAGCCGGCGAAATGTATATACATATTTGGAGAATTATACCAAAACGTGACTGAAACATATACAAAACCAAAAAAAAAAAAACAGAGCAGAGAAAATGGTCAAAAACAGCAAAACGCCCCGTTACGTAATCTGCCGCAATGAACAATTTCTTTTTTTCCCCTCCATTTGCTGGCCGCACAAAATGTGCAATGCGATATGGCTAGATATATATATTATATATACTATATATATATATACAATTTTATGCACGTTTTTTGCCCATTTTATAGGCAATACATTTAGTTTTTATTTTTAATACGCAGCAATAAACTTTAGTTTTCATTTGCAGGTTAAGTTAAAAAAAACCGAGAAAATGCACAGGTGCAGGCTGGTCTACCAATTTATTTTTCTATTTTATGAACTAACATTTTCTATTTAAAGAAAAACTGACAACAACTTTAAGGAAAATAAGGATTCTTTTTGTCTTTTTTTTCGAGCAAATGAAATCTTTTTCAAGCCCTCGTCTCCGAGTCACAGGATGTCCAATGAGACATCCTTTTTGGGTTTTTTTTCTCTTTTTTGTGTGTGTGTGTGTTTCCTCAACATGTTTACATTTAATTAATGCGTACACATGGCTTAAAAGCTGATTATCCTTAATTAGTGTTGTCTTTGGCCACACATTTTACCTGAGAACATTTGGCGTAGGCTAGGATTTCACCCGGCATACATGGCGTATGAGTAATTTCAGCTCGGTGTCACCAGTGCTCTCCATTTCTATGCCACAACAAAAAGAAACATGTGCAACACGAACATTCAAGTTAATTGCTTTCTCGCGTGGCAATTTGAAGATTTTAAATCTTGAAACTGTTAAGACAGACAAAGGCAAAGGTTTTCTTAGAGGGAAGTTCTAGATTTTTGTAGAAACAGAATTACTGGGTACTCTAACTTCGAGTTACTAAACTCTTCTGTTTTTATGACTTTCTTTCCGCAATTACGGTCCAGCCCCCTTTCTCGAACACGCCTCTGGACAAATGCATCGTGGCCAAGACTAACTGCCAGGTCACCAGGGTATGGTGACCGCACTCCAGGCTCCCTGGCTTCTCTCCGTGTTCCGCTTCGAAGACCGGTTGCCGGAGCCATTGAAAATGTTGATAATTGAATTCACACGTGAATGATCACAATCTTGAAGCCTTTACTCGGGCCTATTGGCCTGCTGCTCCTCGGTTTCAGGAGCTCTTCCGTGGCGCCCGGATTCGGTTTTTGGATTTTGTGGGGTGGTGGCGGTGGTGGTGCTGTTTCTAGTTGATGGTAGGATGGTTAGTTGCTGGATTAATGGGTTTGGCCGGGACGGCAGCAGGAGGCTGCAGATTGAATCGCTAGCTTTTTGGCAAGGACCAAAACGAAATGCCAAAGCCAAGCCCGAAAACCGAGACCAAAAGCCAAGTAATTATGATCGTAAATTGATTAGGGAACAAGGGAGAGAGAGAGAGAAAGAGAGAGGTGGCTACAGGGGGTTTAGAAAGGCGAATTTCCAACGAAGGACGGACCACACAAAGGGGGTTAATGGAATTAGTGTTACATAATCTCTGTTGTTGTTCCACAGCACTTGCAGTTGCGATGATGCTGCTGATTTTGCCGCCGGGCTTTTAGTTAACCCACAAAAACAGCGCAGAGCCCTTTCACCAAATCACCTTAAAAACTTTTCACATTGCTTAACTTTTTATTATTGTATATGCACTGCGCTTATACTTGCCGCATAAAAATACAAGATAACAACTTTTATTGATCTCAAGAGTCTTACCAAAATAAGAAGTACAGAAAACCGAGGTTGAGATTGAGATTGAGACCACTAAAAACTTCAGCACAAACAAATTCAAAAACTTCAAATTGTTTATGGCGGAAGGTAACGAAACAAGTTTTCGTCACTTGAGAGAGTAGTTTTTATCCTAGCTAAAGGTGCTCCATATCCTTGAAGTAAGTTTAAGGCAGTGGAAATTTTATAAATATGGTAAAGGTTAAAGACTAACTAGGTAAGTTAATAACTTTCTTTTAATAGTAATATTAATGAAAGTTAAAGTTTAAAAAAAAGATAAATATAACTCATCCTAACTTATCTTAGACAAAAACTTCTTAAATTTCATCTGTAACTACTTTGATTTTTCCAATTTTAGGTTACCGAATTCGGAGGTGACACCCCAGTGTAACCTTCGTCACCTGTTTTCCCCCCGCTAAGAAATATCCTTTTAGCGTATTGCGTCCTGTGCAAACCCCTTGAGACCTCAAAAGGGTTAAAGGCGGCGCACTTGCAAATGCAGTGTGTTTTTGCACTCAAAATCGAGAGCACTCAATTAGAAACGTTAAGCTAACGACCGATTCGATCGGCGTTCAGCATGAACCCGAGTGGGATGGCGCTATATATGTATATGTATGGCTGCACTCTTCATCGATCTGCTGCGACAATAACAAATAACTGTATAACGAATCGGAATCAGAAACGGAATCGAAATCATAAGAAAAAATTCCATTTCAGCTCGTATCGAATTAATTTGCCTAAAATGTGGCACAAATCTCAATTGCAGCAGTGCACATCAATAAACAAAAACGCCAGAAAGGAGCAAAAAAGGCGAGCAAAGGAGCAAAGGAGCAAAGGACATGTGAGATTGATGACACAATCGAACAGGTAAGAGCGAGACAGTCAAATATACCCAACTAGTGGAGGGAAAAAGAGAGGTACATACCATATATAGTATATATACATAGGAATGGGTGAGGGTCGGGTCGCTGACTGCCAAATGGAAAATGGATTTCAGTATTAATTTCGCTGACGACGACGACGACGTCGACGACGACGAGGACATGGACATGGACGAGGATGGAGCGAAGTGAAGGCACGTTGGCAACATCAAAAGCGAGGCATATCCGTCTTGACATTCCGTCCGGGCTGCAGATGCAGATGCAGATGCTGTAGGATGCTGGCGGTTTCCGGGGGTGTTACTGGGCTTTTCCCGGGGCTTACCAAGAGGGTATCCGAAAAAGGGGCAACCCAAAAAAGGGGGAAATGGGCATGGGAATGGGAATGACGGAATGTAGAGATGAAGAACCGGAGCAAAACTGCGGTTTGCCATCTCTGCAATGCGCCGGACCCCGGAGCCGGAATCTAACTTCAATGATGGGAAAAGTACAAGGTATGGGCAAACAACAAAAACAAAAAACAAAAAAGGAAAACAAATACACGTGGGTAAACCGAAAGTGATGGTGAGGGTACCGCATTTGGTTAACCCAAGAAAGGTACAAGGTACTTAGATTAATCAAGGGGTTTAGTATAAACCAAAATAATTCATAGAAGAAACGGATAGTTATATTGAAATTAGCATATTTTATTAAAATATTAATTACTATTAATTATTTTTAATACGACGACTTTAAGCTATAACTTTCCACTTATCTATTTTTTCCACAGTTTACAATATCATCAATGTCATAAGATGATTTATTAATAATCCTTAATCAAAGCAAGGTCAGAACCATTAAGTAAAAGTACCTAAGAACCTAGACTAGACACTGTCCATCACTGATCCTAACCATGTCAGTTGAGCTCCCCACACTTTTCGTTCTCCTTTGCCCAGGGAAAAGCTGCTCCGGCATGCCGCTACCCTCCGTTGGTCCATTGGTTTTCGCTTTTATGGCGCGGGCACACCTATTTTCCAAAAGGATTTCCCAGCATTTGCGGCAAAATGAAGCAACAACAATGTTGCAAAAACAAAAAGGATGGCGAAAAAATAAACTAACGCCAAGTTGGCTCTTTGTTATTTGGGCGTTTGGCAAGTTTCTCGGTGCCTTTCCGTTTTTATACCCTTGCTGAGGGTATTAGAACTTGGATTAGGAGTTTCCGGCTCAGTGAACGAGATATTTGTGAACCTAAAAAGTCATTTCTGCATAAGCTGTCTGCCTCAACGCGGATTTGTCCGAGACTATAAAATCAATAGGGATGGATTTTTTTTTCTTCGCCCACCGTCGTCTTATTTACATTGTAGCGTTGAGAACTTTTGGATTTAGATTGTTATGTTGGGATCAATATGTCCCAAAAGGCTATATAATTTAATATACTATAAAACACAACATCATTTATGCTCCCCTCAATTCAGACTTTAAGCTATTTCGAAATTCAAAGCAAATGTTTTGCTCAAAAGGAACTACAAACAGCACTTCTAATTAACCCACATAAAATCCTAAACAAAATAAGATCTACAACTTACCTACAAGGGTATTTTCAGTTTCGTTCCTCTAAGCTAGCCCTAGTTCTTTTTTTTTTGGCTCTTCTACTTGTCGTCGTGTCGTCGTCATACAAAATAAATGGAATATCTTCGCGTTCTGCTCCTTCAGGCACTTCCTCATCCTCCAGTGCTTTTCCCCCATTTTTCCTGCGGTTCCATCCGTCATGCCTTGTACTTCTTACCCATTTTATTTTCCATTTTTTTTTTTCCTTCTGCTTTCTGTTTTAGATGAAAAGTGGAAACGGGCTAAGGGACTCTGTTGCAACTTATGCAAAATATTTGCACCGAAAAGGGTTTGCTAAGAGCGCCTGGCATACACATAAATAATTTATGAGCATGGGACAAATTGAAATTAGCATAATAAGGAGACAATACAGAAATCAGTGGTTTGTTTTTCCATCTACTCGAACTTTAATTGGATGCATTTTAGCCCTGACGAGCCCGTTTCCGTTCCTGATAACGTGCCAAGGCAGCATCGAAGACCTCGCCCACGGTTCTTTTCCGCCAGATGAGCGTTCGATCAACTGGAGGTTTGGTAACTGTCGGCACCGGTAGATCCTTCTCGTCTACCTCGGCAACAGAATCATCATTTTTGGTGGGCGATGATTGCTTCGATGCCTCGGGCTTTTTGTCTTTGGTGGACTCTGAACTTTGCTGAGCGTTTTCCTTTGTTTTGCCCTGAGGCTGATTGTCCTTGTCCTTTTCCTTATCTTTCTCATCTTCTTCATCGCTTGAATCGTCTATGCTGAAGTCGGAGTCCGCATCTATATTGTTGGCCAAATGAGCCTGAGCTGGTTTGCTTTCCGCTTGATCTGTTGGCGTTTTAGCCTCCGTGTCCTGACCGGACTTGCTCTTGGCCTGCTCCTCCTCCTCGGAAGAGCGACGTTGCCGATAGCTCCTATGTTTAGCGGCCTCCGCTTTGATAGGTTTGTAAGATACCTCTTCAGTGGAGGGCGCCGTTTTCGGTTTAATCACATCTTCCTGGGCAGGGCCGCCCATTTTCTGTTCATAAAGATGACGATAAAAGCCGCCCAGATCCTTTTGCTTGGTAACATCGCCAATGGCCTCAAGGTACTCATCTCGCTGTTCCTGCTCTTGCATCTGTCTTATCGACTCGAGTTTCTTGCGATAGGCGGCCGTAACATAGGTGTCCTTGTCCTTGTACATCTCACCTTCGGCCTCGCGATCTTTCTGCACCTGCCGTTCGATGCGGAGCTCCTTCTCCAGCTTCCTGCGCTCGGCGTGCTCCATTAACCGCCCGATGTATTTTGGCTTTCGCGGTTCCTGACTCTTCGTTTGCTTAGCCTCCTCGCGTTTGTTGTCCATGTCATCGTACAGCTCGTCATACTGGAAGATGGTGGGATCCTCGGCCAGGGCCTTCTCCTGTTGCCGACGTGCCACACGACGCTCCATTAAACTGGGTCCACTGGGCACTCCCCCGGTTTTTGGCTTCAATTGTGGAGCATTGCGGTCATCATCGCTTCCGGAGTCACTGCTCTCGTCAAAAATGGCGGGCTTTGTAGCAGGTCTCACCGGTTCCTTCTTCTGCTGCCCGGGGATAATAAGGCCATATCTGTGGGGTTAAAAGAGATTTTAAAATCACCAAAATACTGTTTTTATTAGGTAAATACTTACTGTTTAGACATTTTCTGTTTGTTTTGTTTATTAATGGCTAGTATGCCTGTTTGTTGCGTCCAGATAAATACTTTACAACAGCACTAATTCAAAGCAACCCTGCGTCGGCTATTCTTTTAAATGCAAAAAGTATCGATATTTTATTGTGAAGACTTGAAAAATACGGAATTATAGCAGGAAAACTGATTTCATAATTAAAAAAATGCACTCTATGATATCAATAAAACTTACTCCGCCAAAAGTATTCAAATATAAAAATTTGGCAATGCAATCCGTCGCCAGTGTCCAATATATATTAGGTGATATACCATAGAGTTTTGTAAATAGTTAACTTAAAACAACATAAAGTATCTTGTTTTAGATATTCTATTCCCAATCTTTAAGCTTTGTTTGCAATTTACAAACTACGATAATATATTAATTTGAAGACAAGTGAATCATTATTATAAATTTAAATTGGAGAACATAGTTTAGTAGAGACCCGAACTATGAATTGTGTCTATGGAACTATCGATAACTAAATCGATTTTAGCCACACTTACGACTGGCCGGTCACACTGTTCTCTGTCTTTTTCCTTCCGTTTCCCTTTCTTTTCCCTTTTCACGTTTGCGTGAGTGCGTGTTCTCCGCGATTTTGTTCATAGAAATTGTAACTAAACTGATTTTATTTCCTCTATTTGCAGCGGTCGTGTAAATCAGTGTTTGCAAACCAATCCCAGGTAATTGCCGCTTTCATTGGACGCCTGTACAGCCTAAAAATGCAGCCAGATAAGATTTGCGGCGATCGCCGGTCGAAACATGTGCAAATACCCACCTTTTTTTTTATTACAATTTTTTTTACTGTGGGCCTAAGAGCCAAAATTGAGCAGTTTGTCATGTAAACAATACATGAAACGCCACGCTACCTTTTGGATTTGTATATCTATATATAAACCCTATTTTTTTTTGGTTATAAATTTTTTTTCTGTGCGAAAGAATATCAAGTGAAAAGTTGGCCAAAAAGTGTGTTGCACAGTGCTGTTGTTGTCGTGCATGTGTGTCTGTGTATGTGTGTAGGTGGCTTAAAAGTGTGGCAAAATGTCTGGAAACCAATTAAATCAAATGTAATACCAACAACCGGCAAAAATTCATGAATTTCGGTGTTCACGAGATGGAAAATCAGCTCGAAATAGTTGTTGTTTACAGCCACTTGCACGCACACACACACACACCACCAAAGATACACAGACAGTATCAGTTTTTTTTTTTATGGTATTTTGCACGTGTTTCGCTTGCTGTTTCCCTTTTTTTAAATAACCCGTTACTTTTTAAATAACTAAAACAGTAATATAGTATAAAGAATCATGTTCAGCACTTTAAAAGCATTTTGTCTATGGTCGTAGCCTTGTGTTCTCCAAAAATTTCATGTCAGAGACATGTTCTTTCATAGTTTGGACAAGCCTCTGTGCGTCTTTAAAGGCCAAGAACCTTAGCTTGCTGCATTTTCAATATAATAAATAATATTAAAGAAAATCTCTTCACATATGTACAAAAAGTATTCAATTATAGTCAGTTTTTATAGGTATTGAATGCTAGTTCTTATAGGTAGTTGACATTTATGCTTCAGAACATAACCCTTTTGTCGTGGTTATTGCTTAGCTCTATATGCTTTTGATAGTCTACATATCTTGCAAGTCTCATTCGAGCTAGGGTTTAATATGCTTCGTATACTAGTCTATAGATATTTCCTCTATATTTTGAGGATCTTTAGCATGTTAGCTAAATATGATAGTTTTTGTGATTAGATTGTATATCACTTAAAGTTAACACTTGTTTCAAGTTATTTTTATACTTAAAAAAAAGTAACGGGTTATAACCTTTATATTTGTAATATTTTTCTGTGAAACCTGCAACTTGTGGCCGTGGTCTAATCATATTCCCAACAATTTTGCAGCCATGGTGCGTATGAACGTATTGGCCGATGCCCTGAAGTGCATTAACAACGCTGAGAAGCGTGGCAAGCGCCAGGTGCTGCTGCGTCCCTGCTCCAAGGTGATCATCAAGTTCCTGACCGTGATGATGAAGCACGGCTACATCGGCGAGTTCGAGATCGTCGACGATCACCGTTCCGGCAAGATCGTTGTCAACCTGACCGGTCGCCTTAACAAGTGCGGCGTCATCTCTCCACGTTTCGATGTGCCAATCAACGACATCGAGAAGTGGACCAACAATCTGCTGCCCTCTCGTCAGTTTGGCTACGTTGTGCTCACCACCTCGGGCGGCATTATGGACCACGAGGAGGCCAGGAGAAAACATTTGGGAGGCAAGATCCTCGGCTTCTTCTTCTAGAGCCACAAAAATGATATCGAAGTGTCTGTGTGTGCTGCTGGGGAGTTGATATGTAGATTGACGTTTTATTTCACCGACCATAATACCATGCATCCAATAGCGTTTGTGTTTAGCAAACTAAGGGCAAGAACGCTGAAACATTCATTCAAGACAACCAAACGACAATGAATGTTCACAAAGAAACCCGAAATAAAATGATTGATACATAATAATTTTAATAACGATTTTGTTTACGATCTATGAAATATGTAAGCCGTACAGTGATGAAACAATAGCAACAGTAAATCGATCTGTTAACATAAAACCAACTTTGTTTATAATATTATCTAAAGTAAAGATGACAAGAGTTGTTCTCAATATTTAGACAAAGGCAAAACTCCAGTAGTAGACAATGACAGTGCCATGTGCTTGCTGCTTTCTTGGCAGTTTAACCTCAGTTACGTGCTTGCCATGATGAGTCAAGAAATCAAAAAGAATATAAGTAACTTTAAATACAACTTTTTTAGGTATCCTGTTACCCGTAAAGGGCCTTTTTAAGCTTCTTATGTTTTGTCAATGTATATATCCTAGTTTTGTCTTAAAGGAACACTTCAACTAGGAAACCTTAACTTTAAAACTTTGGTTCACTCAATATTACTTTGAAATGTTGGGTTCACTCAATATTACTTTGAAATGTTGGGTTTAACTTAGAAAGAGTTGGTGAGTGCACTCTTATAGAGTATACGATTTAGACTAATTCAGCGTTAGAACTCAGATGAAGTTCTATTGGATCCCATAGTTACCTTATTTAAACCTTCAAGTGAGACATTTACTTATCATTTAAAAAGCTGCAAGAAAAGAAAATAGTTGACATATCTTTAAAAAATTTAAATAATACAGTAAAGAGTATAATAGTAGAAAGGGTTTATGTTTCTGACAAGAGTTTAGGTTAGACAAGAGGCTTTAAAATGGTTATATTACAATTTGTATTGAATCGATATTGAAATTTTACAATGTGTAAGGGGCCGTCGTAAAGGAACTATTTGGAATTTTAAAATTACCATTACTAAATTTTCTATAAATTTTAGTATAGGAAAGCTTATTTATTTTTCCAAATAAGTCCTACTTATAAGAATATGTTATTTGTACTGATTCTTAACCATGTTTGTTATCAATATTTCAAAATATAAACAAATGAGCGGACAGTGAGTATGTGAAGTTGCAGCCCTCGAACCAAGTGCTGGAAGATACTTCAAAGCAAAGAACTTAGGCAACACTTAGCCCTTGTATTCTTTGCAACACTGGCTGTTATATGAAAAAGTTATTGCATACTTTGCCACCGTTATCAAGGCAGCCGGTTAAATTTGAATTGATTGTATTTAATTGAAATTCAATTAACCGATCAGTATCCTGACCCAGATGGGATTCCCCTCTTTAAATAATTGGCATGTCATTAACAACAATTACAATTCATATTGACCTACCGATCGATATCGGTGTTGCGTGTGGCTTAGAATAAGTATTATTGATGGGTCTATATGGATGTTATCTATATCTGAGAGGGGCCTACGACGTCTACAACTTGGCAATTGCTTTGGCCATTTGGCCAACACACCCCTTATAGAAACCCAATATCCTTATCGTTGAGGTAAATTGAAAGGTCGAGCTTAGCCCAATATGGCGGTTGGGTAAGTTTGCCATTTTGAGCATGTCATACCGCACGAAACATTCCGACTGATATCACTAATACCATAGAGAAAGCCTCCCGATTACTACTTATCAGTCTATAAAATAATCAAATTACGCCACAGACAGCACTATAGCATAGCACTAAATGTTCTTTTCATCAAAATAGTACCGACTTTCTAATGTTTTTCACAAATAATTAGCAGAATTAAGTAAACATTTTAGATTCCTGCCCTTGGATTAACATTAGTTTATACAATTTTAGACTTTTGCATTTGTCAAGATTTTATGCAGGGTCTTATATGTAAAGCTTTTTAAATTAGAAATAATTATTGAATGGTTTAATGGTAAATTATAACCTCTGTTTAGTGAAACTCAACAGGTGTACAATTGTTACTTACAATTATTTCTTAATTACATTTTCCTAACATCTACCACTATTATTTCCCCCTCAACTGTGTATGTTTGTACTTGTTTTCCGGGTACTGACTTCTGGTGATTGGCATATTGGGTATATCCGAGTAATTTTCCCACCCATTTTCCCGATTGCTGCAGCATACGGGCGGAATTTCATTAGAGCAAATGCGTTTTTTCCCCCATTTTTGCCACCCAATAATTATTGATTTGAAATCGGTGGAATCACTAAACATCCATTGAAAGTCACCGACAATGACATTTGCAACGCCCTCAATGTAGGCCCGTTGGCATAGAAATCGGGCTCAGACCGAGATTATTGTACGTTTCTGTTAGCTTTTTGTACCGCTTTGGCTGCAATGATTCAGCAATAGCAATCTCTTTTTGCAGCTGTCGTGCGGCTGATGAATATGAATAGAGCGTTTTTCTGTACAACAACTTGGCAAACAAGCTCAGGTAAAAACGATTGGGAATCATCAAGCTTGGGCATCACGAAGATGGGTTTCTCTAACTTGAGATTGAGATTTAAGTAAGTGTTATCTTTCCTCCCCGAGATATTATATATTTCAAAACCCTTGAGAAACTTAACTTTAGAACTTAAACTTATACCTTTAGATTCTATATACTACTACGCCTAATATTCGTAACCTGTACGATCAGTTATCCTACCTATAGAGATATAAACCTATCAAACCTACCTATAGAGATATATCACATCAAACTGAAAGAAACTAAAAAGTTCTAAACGGGGAAGTCCACTGTTGAGGCTATTATCTTAGCCTCCATTGTGTTTGAAGTGAACTTGACTGTCCGTGGGCAACAAGCGCAATTAGCAGACTGATAATGATAATGGTCGACGCACTGTGTTGCCGGAATGAGCCATCAAGTCGGCTATACCCCGACGATCCAACAAAAAAAAAAATAATAATAAAAAAAATGGCAAAAACTAACGACGTAACGTGCGCAGCGATCAGATCGCACCACTTGGCTTGGCGAAAGGGTTCTGTTTCTGTTTCCAGTAGGTTCCAAAGCTTTTTTTTCGCAGCTGGTCGGCCATACATATGTCTATGTCTATAATAGTATATATATATATACATAGATATAGACCCAAGTGTGTGACTTGGAGAAACTAGTTTTGGTGGAAGAGATGGAGATCCTAACCGCCGAAGACACGTCGTGTGATGCGACGCGAACTACACGTAATAGTTGAACCCAAGGTGAGAGAGGTGGGTTCAAAACCGGGAGGCTCTATATATCTACAGAGTAAAAACCCGCTTAATATGCAAGACATCCACGTCGACTAGACAACTCTCGCTTGCACTTAACATTGAAAATATGGATGTGATGCGGTGTGGCAAAACGGGAATTGTGCACTCGGTTACTGTGTCACCAACAGCTGTTTCTCCACTCGGAGAAAATGCTATTAATATGTGCATAGTTATAAAAAGCCATTTTAAGAATATATTTATCACTGAAATAGATTAGTTCGGATCAATATCAAATGCAAATTCTAACTATTAATTGATTATTTGCACAAGTAATAATAGAACGCCATACATATTTTCTTCCTGTGCACCGCAGCATGACGTTAACGTCTCAGCGGGACATTCTTGGCCTTCTGAATCAGTTTATTTCCCATTTCGCAACTGCCAGCCGCAGACGGTGATAACTCCGCACGTCGGGCACTTCGATTTTTATTTCATATTTTGTTGTGAAAATGTTTCCCCGGGATGATAAGCGCCATAGGTTTGGGGCGAAAGTCCGCCCGCCACCCCCTGATAAAGAACCACGTGTGCCGACTTTTCTTCCGTACATTCGTTTATTGTGGTGAATTACAAAAAAAAAGTACACAAAATAAATCACTTTCCGCTTAGCATCTGCAGGTGTGGTTTCATGTGGTTTGTTGCATGGAAAGATGGCTCACAGTTTCTTCTCACTACGCTCTAGGGTTAATATGTAGGATATATAATATATATATATATACGGCTTAGACGGTAGGGGTTTACGATTCGAATCCGCTCCCACTCGCCAGGAGCAGCCCCCTCCGTCCACCGTTATTAGATAGCTTCTTTAAGAGGTGGTCTCGAAGTACTCCTTGGACTTGGTGGGATCAGCCACCATGGTCTTCTTACCGGGCTTCCAGTTGGCAGGGCAGACCTCGCCGTATTTGTCGGTGTACTGGAAGGCCTGGACAAGACGAATGGTCTCCTCCACACTGCGGCCCACTGGCAGATCATTGATGGTGATCTGGCGCAAATTCTGTTTGTCATCGATGATGAACAGGCCACGGAATGGGATGCCAGTCTCCTCATCGAGCACACCATAATCGCGGGCAACCTTCATCGACTTGTCGGCCAGCAGGGGAATGTCCATGCTGCCCAAACCGCCCTGCTTCCTGGGTGTGTTGATCCAGGCCAAATGGGTGAACTGGCTGTCGGTGGAGCAACCGATCACCTCGCAATTGATCTTACGGAACTCGGCGGCGCTCTCAGAGAAGGCAATGATCTCGGTGGGGCACACAAAGGTGAAGTCCAGTGGGTAGAAGAACAGCACCAAGTACTTGCCCTTGTAGTCGCTAAGCTTGATGTCCTTGAACACACCGTTGACGACGGCGGTGCCGGAGAATTCGGGAGCGGGCTTCTGTAGCTGGGGCATCTGTGAAATAGAGGTAAGAAATTTTAAAAGCTGCTCTCTAAACAGGCGTAAAATGAACTTGGAATAAAATAGTTGTAAAAAAGTGAAGTGCTCTGGGGATTTATTAGTAGTCTATAAATTAAAGTTTCCCTATCTCAATAACTTTTACTACGTATTTGGTTTTAAAAGCGGTTTCCTGTTAAATAATTGTTTGCATTTTTTCTAGCTTTTATCTTATTTTAAAAGTTAATAAATTGTTTTAATTTTCTATCAAATTAAATTTACACAACATTAAGTACATTATTTATTTCGCAACAGCAACCTGACCGAAAGTCTCTATAAGGTCGAGTTGGAATGTGGCAATTACTGAAGTTAAAGTGTAATTGCCCTTCGAGATGTTTCGCAGAAAACTAGGGAGATCAAAGAGACGAAAAGAAAGTAGAAGCTAAAACTCTACAAAATGGCTGACGGGAAATGAAAGAAAAAAATGAAATGGAAGAAACCCGGAATAATAAATTAGCCAAATTTTTCGGAATGTTCCCATTTAACCGATTGAATTTATTGAACTTTTGGCACGTTCGCATTTTACATTTCGACATTGTAATGGATGCGATTTCTTTGCGAATTAATAGCAAATCACAAATATTTCTGAATTGGCAAATATTTTCATCTCATTTTGATTTTATTTCTTTGCCCTTTTTTTTGCCGGCTAAGCTTGTGTGCGTGCGCGCGTGTATGTGAGCAACGGACGTGCCAATAAAATGTACAACAACAACAAAAAGAAGAGGAAACTATATGCTCTCAGTGCAAAAAAGAAAAAAAACTTGTGAAATAATCTCAAATCTGCCGACCGAACATCATTATCTTTTTCACATCCAACAACAGCATAGCAACAACAACAGCGGCACACAGAACAGCGATGCTAAATTCTAATCTTACGCTCTCCCGCAATTTCTCCCTGACTTTGCCCAGAATTAGCGACCTGTTCATCACTCACTTCAATAGCTTTTATTTTTCTTATTAAACTCGGGTAATTGCTCGACTTCCGCGTGGGTTCTCGGATTCGTATTTGTCTGCAGTTTTTTCACAAACCTTTCGGCACGAGTTCGAAATCGCGAATGGTTTGGATCGAATGATATAGTAGCTTGTAATCTAAAGCTATCAGGCCATCGATAGTACTATCGAAAGAAGCCGCCACTATCGACAGTCGTCTGGTATATTTTTAAGCTATTGCCTATATGTCTATCGATATGCTGCCAGCTTTTTAAAATGCCTGAGTTTGAAATTTGGCGCAGTTATTTAGCGAGGTTTCATTTTTATTAAGTAAGTAGCCATCCTACAACAATCTACAAAATCTGCGAAAAATGGTCCAAATTTGGCATTAAAAACTGTGAATGCAGTTTTGATAAGCATGAGAAAACACGCTCTACGAGGTATTACATTCCTTATTTGGGCCATTATTGGCCAAGTTATGAGCAAAACTCTGTAGGGTTTGGGGAAGCCAAAATTCGCATTTTTGATAAGGGGTACCATCATCAAAATTTTCGAAAAATGGCTTAAATTTGGCATTTCAAACTGTGAATGCAGTTTTTATAAGCATAAGAAAACACGCTCTTCGAGGTATTACATTCCATATTTGGACCATTATTGGCCAAGTTATGAGCAAAACCTAACCTAACCTTGGGGCAAGGAGAAACTAAATTTCGCATTTTTGATAAGGTTGTGAGAAAAATTCTCTCACTGTGGGGGAAATGAAACAAATTACTTCTGGTTTTCTGGCTTAACTGTATTTAATAGTGCACAATTAGTAGTATTTAGTAGGTAGTCGCGTAACCATTATATTAAAAACTTAATCTAAGCTCTTGTTGCGTGTTGGGTGTTCTTAGTTGCTTTTCGTATCGTGACGATCGACAGTTTTGACTGCCTGCGGAAGGGTTCTCCAGCTATTCGGGTCTCTCGGGAGGATTCGCCAAAAGTGATTCTGTTTTTTTTTTTTTTTGGATAAATAAATTACACTACAGCAGCAGCAGATATAGGCTAGGCTATATATTTCCTATATACGTACTTGTATATCATATAGTTAAAGTATGTGTATGTATTTTTGTATGCATATGGTGGTTTCAGTCTTTGATTTTAAACTTAAGGGATTAAAATGTACGCAAACTGTTGTAGATATAAAAAAAAACAAAAAAAAAATAGTTAACTTAGCCTAGGAATTTGGGGATTAATCGATTCGGGATGTGAAAATGTCTTTGCCTTGGGGCCCAGCCCCAAAATCCTTCATAACATAAAAAAAAGAAAACACCCATTAAGGTTTATTTTCTGCCGGCTCCTCTTTTTCATGATCATGATGATCCCCGCCAGAAACTGTTGATGGGATAGATGCCTCCGCTTCCATGGTCGCCTGCAGCTCCACAAATATATCGATGAGATTGTTGATACCAATTAGATAGCCATCCTCATGATTGCCAACCTTCCAGGCGGAGTAATGATCGATACGCAGCTGCGGTGGCAACTCCACCGTCTTGGCAAAGTCAATGAGCCAGATACTGGCGTGGGTCTGATCGTGGACAAAGAGCAGGGAGCTGCCGATGACCTCGTGGGTCTGAAAGAATTCCGACACCGACAGAGTGGCCCGTATTGCACGCAAACGCTGGATATAGCGGGGCTGTAAGATATATTATATTATTATAATTATATAAAGATAATGCCAGATCTGAACTTCATTCTTATACATACCAAAATATGGGGATGACCGCTGAGGAACTCGACGAAGGCCAACTTGATTTGTTCGCGTGACTTCGTCGTTTTGAAATCTTTGGAACTGGTGCCATCGCTCTTCTTGATACCCTGTAAATGGTGAGTATACATTATAGTATATGTATATCTAACTATATCAGCTTTTAAAAAAAACCACCTCGATGCGGAATCCCAACGTGGCCGTGCTGGAGATGGTCTCCCGCCAGACCATATAGCGGGGCTTGGTCACCGCCTTGGCCGCATGCTCCTCGGCGGTGGGGGCATTGCTGTCGATCTGGATCATCTTGTCGTACATGTCCTTGCGCAACTTGGGCTTCTCCTTGGCCTTGGACAGCTCCTCCTCCAAGTAGGTGCGAACGCCTACCTTGCAGTCCATAACACACGGCTGCACATAGTCACTGAGCAGGTCCTGGAGCTGCAGGTAGACTACAGATGCCCCGGGATTAAAGATAGGTAAGATTCTTTCTAAAAACTAAAGACTCACGTTCACCATCCTCGCTGGTCACCTGACCCTTGTAAACGGGCACATAGGGCCTTAGCAGATCCTGCATCAGGATCTGGAAGCACTCCTCCTCTTTGGGGCACAACTTCTTGAGCACGGTGCCCGGTTCGGGACCAGCCTTGAAGTTGCCCTGATGTCCGGCCAGCTGGACCCATGGATAGCGCTGCTTCTTGTACGTCTGAAAGAAGGGCGTCCACTGAACGATGTTGCGTATCTTCCGCCAACCGGAACTCTGAAAAGATTAGGGGGTAAGTCTGTTAATGAGGGGTTTCTATTAAGATTAGTTTAGTTTTAAATAATATGTAACTTTAGATTTACATTTCATAAGCTTAAACTATATAAACAGATTAACAGATTTAAACGGAAATCAAAACTTAAGTAACTTCTGTTAAAGTTATAAAATGGGTCAGACATTCTAAAGATTTGTTTTTGTTTTTGTTAACAATATTTATAAACTTATTAGTTTTCTTTTTTGAGAAACAAATTACATGGGACAGCTGACAGGTGAATAATGACCCATTTTTACGGCCTGATTTAAGTTTAGCGTTTAAGTTGATCAGCAAAAAAAGATCACGTGGAATTTTATGGTTACTGGCTCTACAAATTCGATTGTGGTAATTTAAATAATATAATTTAATTTAATTTAAATAAATTGTAAGTAAAAAAAAGTCTTAATATTGTTTATACAAACCATTCTAAAAACTTAAAACTAAAAACATTTTTCGACAGGATCAAAAAGTTGCCAAAAAGAACCATCCTACCTTCTTGCCAGTAGTGGCCTGAGATGAGGAACCCGAACCCGTTGCCGAACCGGCTGCCGAGGTAGACACATCCGAGTCCCACTCGGAGCTGAGATCATCACTGCTGGCATACCCATAATCCCTGGGCATGGGCACCTCTAGTAGTGACTTGGAGTACTGGATATAGCCGGGGCAGAGACTTTGGCCCAAGGGGGAATGGGATCGTCGGGGTCCCAGATTCGTAGGCGTCGGTGAAGTGGGTGAGCCCAAAGGCAGGGAGTTCTGTTGCGATAGCTTCCTGCCCAAACCCAAACGAAGACCACAATTATGGGCCACATGATCACCCGAATTGGCCGTAATGCTAATGGTGGGCATCGATAGCTTCTTTTCCGCACGCTGGCGAATTCCATGGGCCTGGGCGAAGGCTAAACTACATTTCCTTGGCTGCATATTATTGCCGGATAGCTTACGGCGGAATATCTTCTTGGACGAACTTGGCACTGGGGCGTTGCTGATGCCACCAACACCACTGGCCTCTATCTTTTGACCCTTTTGGGTCTCCGTTTCACTGCCAGCATCTTCGCTGTCCGCCGATGTGGGTCTCCTGCCAGTATCGCTATCCTCATCGGCCTCATCACCTTTATCTTCCGGATCACCATCCTCATCATCATCATCATTGTCATCATCTTCGAACTTCAATTTGGCTATCTCCTCGGGTGGAACATCCGGAAAATGTAAAAGTTTCACGGTGACTTTCTTTCCCGCCTCATTGTAGTACACCTCCTTGGCACTCATCCTGTCGAAGTCCTCGTATATCCTCACCTGCGGAGATGGTGGAGGAGTGGGTGGCGTTACCGAGCCCTTGGCCTTGCCGTTAAGCGTTGTCAAGGCCGGTAATCTCGGGCCAGTTCCGTTTTGCTTTTGCTTGGGATTTTGATTCGGCGGTGGATTCTGGGTAAGGGCGCACACGGACATCTTACATGGAATCTGGCCCACGGCACTCGATTAAGTGCATCCGTGGTGGCGATATCAATGTGGATCTTAAACTGAATGTACTTCTGCTGGTATCAAAGGAAAATTTCGGAGTTTCAGATACAGATAGAGCAAATAAGAGAGAGAGCGAGAGAGAGAGAGTTGGAGAGCTGTCGCTGCATTTTGATTTCTGCGCATTTGCTAACCCGTTCGTTTGCGCCTAAAAACGGCATCATTCCCGCTACCTGTCGTCTCTCCCACTCTGGTCATTCCCCTCCCTTTTCAACTGACAGTCCAAACGATCATAACGAGCGATTGAGCAAAGCAGGTGGGTTTCCTTGAAAGTCAAATACCCTCTAGAGCTATAGGGTCTTGGGTCTTGAAAGTTCTTAAGAGGGGATCGTTAGAATTTTGGGAACTTTTAACTCTACACGAAATCCTATTTCTCGATAAACCAAACTTCCCCATTAGTAAACCTTCAGCAAAGGAAGCTAATTAATGCTCATGTTTATTAACAGAGTTCGCAAAAGGGAAATCCCTGTTAACCGCAGCAAATGGGAAATGCCTTTTGGGGGGCTCAGGGTATTATAATTTCGTTGCAGCTGGTTCTTTGGCTTTTGACTGCTTTTGGGTCTATAGATGTGTGGCTGCTGCTGCTGCTGTAATGCGCACACATCAATCAAAATTGATTAAATTTAATACATACATATGTATGTGCCATGTAACACAAGACAGACGAAACTAAGTAGGCATTGTCGGAGCGTGTTGGCATCTTGGCAGCACCATCTGCGGCAACCAAAAAGGCCTACCGGCAAACGGCAAACGGCAACATCAACAACATCCAGCCAACTATTAACTAGTAACACCAACCAACTAACTAGTAACCACCAACCGGCAGGCAAAACCAACCGCAAGCGAAACCGCCCAGAGTCGGGCAAGGCAATCCAATCCAATCCGAAACCCAAATCGAATAGCACATTATGATAATAATGGAAATGCCAGCGACGCGGCTATCCAGTTACGCCAGTGCACAACAGCAACAACACTGACTATATATACATATATACTATACACAAGTGTGTTGTATATATGTATTCTGTATATGTATATCTACGACTATATATATACATATATGTATGTATACGAACTGAAATTTCTTTATAACATTTGACGTCATTTGCAAATGTTGACGCCGTCGCCGCGAGGCGATAACGAAGCAACAAAAGCAACAGTAACATCAGCAACAACAACAGTAACAACAACAATAACAACAACAACAAAAAGAACAAGAAAACAGCAACAACCTTGTCTCTATATAGTCTGGAGAACTTTGGTACTATACCATATCAACAATAGATCTTCGCGCTTAACGTACTACTTAGCGATCGCCTACTATATATTTGGCTTATCTAATTCCGATTCAAGTCAAGGGTTGGCTTTGCAAGGGCTTGAATACTAAGTACATGTAAGTAGGACAAGGGCTGTGACTATGCCAGTTTTTCCAGAATATTCACTATACTATATAAGATTTAAAAGGAAATTTTATTATTTTCAAATGTTTTTTTTTAAGAAACTTCATTTTTAAAACCTTTTCAAAGATCTTTTTATAAGAAATCTTTAAAGATCTCTTTGGTAAAATAATCTTAAAGTTAGACAAACTCTACTAATCAATCTCTAATAGCTTTCTTGAACTATTTTAGTACCTCTTCTTTGTATCTTCAATAAAGTAAATATTTAAGTTGAGCTTTAAATAGCAATTGTGCTAATTGCTAAGTGCATGTACTTGAAGTGCTATAATTCTTCAAGACTATTTAAAGATCTTAGTTAAGTAAACGTTTGTCTGGCTCGCAGTGCTTGAGTACTTAGATCTTCCAGTTAGGAGCTCTACTTAGTGATGTTTAACTAAATACTTGCGAAGTTACAAGTCCAACTAAAGTTGAGCAAGGGCTAGACATTGTATGTCGAGCTTAGTTTTTATTATAGAAAAATATATATAAAATTAAACTGATAAGTTAAGTTTTATTTAGTTCCAAGTTTATGCTATCCATGTTTTCCCTTACTTGGATTCACTTTTTATTAATAGCTCAGCCTCAAATGACGTATGTGTGATATTTCTTTACTGAATGCTACTTGCTGATTGTATATATAAATATAGTTACTAAAGAAAAAACTTAAGAAATCAGAAATATATATAGAAATCTAAGAGCTTTGCCCTTGCATCACCGTACAATCTATCTTTAAGATTGCATTCTTTGCCATATCTTTTTATATTATTCCCATCTAGATGGGCTTGGTCTTGGATTGCGATCCGTCCTTAAATACAAATTTGCTTGTTATCTAATAAAAACAATTGTACAATCTTCGATGCCGTCAACACCAGCAACAAAAACAATATAAAACCATACAGAAAGCCGACGTCGACGATAACGACTCGATATATGGCGCTATGTACTATGCATATAGATACATTAGATCGTGTATTTGGATATATGTTTGTATATAGAGTTGAGGGTACGTAATGCCGGCACTCACCACCCCCCACTTGGTAACCAACCCCCCCTCGTAAATTAACAGCCACCACCCACTCTCAAAAATGGACACTACGCGCTTAATGCCCCGCCATTCACATTCGCCCAGCAATTTCTCTCAGTATTTTTTCTTCTTTTTTTTTACTTTTTTTACTTTTTTCTTTTTAACTACCAAAAAGCTCAAAATTAATAAAGTAAACAATTTGTTGTCAACCTCCCCCCGCCGCTACCTATTCAGCTCCTTGCTCTTTACATTTCTCTAAGTGTGAGTCTTTGTTACCCTCTTCTTCGATTTGGACACTGGAATATGTTTTGATTTCTTTTTGTTTTTGTTACTAAAAGTCTTTTTATTTTAGCTGATATTGGAAAGTATAAGAAAATGTTTATTAGGCTTTCCACAAATTACGAAAATATCAGAAATACCTCAATAGAAGTTTTTAATCTAAGAAAAAAGGTATAACTGATCCTATAAAAATCTACAAAGTAATTATAACACCAATTCAAATTTAATATATAATTTGGTATGCAGATATTATCTCAATGGCTCAGCCTAATGGCAAGCCGAAAAAGTTACACCCATTTTCTAACAGTGCACCATTGACGCACAGAATGGATTTTGGTTTTGGCTTTGGGGATTCAGTTTTGGATTCGGATACGGTTTTGGGCCCCGAGATGTGAGTGGTGGGGCTGTGAATGTGGGTGGTTGGGCGGATGTTATTGAAACGATCAAGCACCAATTAAGGCTGTGGGGGGGAAGGGGGGAGGTGGGTGCTGAGGTGGTGCTGTAGGTGATTTAGTTCCATTTTCGGCTACTTAATGAGCTTCAATTGCCGAATTCACTGTTCGTACGCAAATGAACACGATTTCTGAAGGTGCTGCCTGCTGCCTGCTGCTTGCTGCTCTTCAATTATATAATACACTTTTGGGTGGGTGGCGGTTAGCATTGCGTTGGGTGGGTTGGTTTTTGGTTGTTGCTGCTTCCAAATTGCGTAGCACTAAGTATTTTTATTTGACGGGGCTTGGGGCTTGGGGCTTGGGGGCTTATTTGGGTGGGGTGTCTGTTGGGGGAATGGCGTTCTCATTGACGTCGTCGTTTATATAGTGTGTAAATGTTTACATAAACCTGAATACTCGGATTTTCGGTGCAAAAGTCAGTTCGCTATTTCAGTCATCTAGTATAAGAGTTCTGTCTTGTCTGTCTCCCTTTCGCACTCTCAAACCCTCCTCTCTGGCGATCCATCACCGTCTCCTGTCTCTGTTTTGCCCTAGCACTCTCTCTTTCTTTCCCTCTGGGTGGCTTTGGCGCGTGCTTCAATTAACACACTTTACAATGACAGCGGCAACACGAAACAGCAACAGCAACAGCAACACGAAACAGCAACACTAAACAGCAGCAGCAACATCAACAGCGCCAGCAGCGACACATTGCAGATTCCCCAAACTTGCCACTTGATTTTTGAAACTTTTCAAATATTTTATGAACTTGTCAAAAGAACACAGTAAAAAAAGATCACTGATCACCAGGAAGTTATGTTGATTAAAATATTTTCTTTTTTTAGAAGATTTTAAATATCAAAAATATTTTCTTTGATTATTTTAGTGTTTTATTTTAAGAAATTTTCTTTTTTTTTAAGTTTTTAATTAATCATTTATTAACATATTTTATATATTTAAGTGGCAGTTGCGTTTTTAAGGTTTCTTGGTTTTAAAAAGTCTTCAGGCCTTTGTGAAAAATTGTTTAGATTTTAGATTGATTTTAGTTTTTGATTCATTTTAGTTTGATTTTTCTCTGTTAAAGGAAGTTAGCCTGTTGAAAAGCTCTTTTGATCCAAAGATTGTACATATTCAAAATTAAAATTAACACGCCATTCAGCAGTTAAAATTCAATTAAGAATGATTATAAATCTATTTTCTATAACATTTTCCTTTATACAATAAAGAAGATTTATAAACTTTCAGCTAAGGACATCCAGAGTTCAAAAACAAAATTAGACTTAAATGAAATTTTAAAAGTCTTCTTTCTTTAGCCTTTTATGCAATAAAAAACACCCATAAACACACACACTCTCCAACAATTAACTGTTAATTAAGAACAATTATACATTTTAGTGGAATTTTTCCAGCTTTCTTCCTGTGACTTTCTGTTGGAATTCAAAATGAAAATACAAAATACAAAATGCGAAAACCACACGCACAACCAGCCAATCAAAATAAATTTTTATTTCGAAAAAAAAAAAACTGGTAAAATACAACAAAAAATTATAATATTTTCGGAATACGGCTCTGGTTAATAATATTGCTGCTGGGCTGTGTTGCTGTTTATTATTAATATTTTTTTTCGTTTTTTGGTGGGCCGTTTGACGCGGTCTCTGGCATTGGCTTGACACACACAGCAAGAGACAGTGAGAGAGAGAGAGGGGCGCTCAGAGACGCGGTGAAAACAGATATATATATTTGTATATTGGAATATGTACATATAGACGCGGCGAGAGATATGTGGAAACACACGCGGAAAGTCGGCGATACGGGCAATAGCACTACCAATATCAATAACAATGACAAAAACCCAGAGACGAGACCCCGAGCCAGCCGCACGCGATCGCAGCAAAAGCTCAACTGGTCGACTCTGCTCTAAAAAACGGAACCCAAACGAGCCAAACCGAACCGAACTCGCTGAGAGCTCCGCCGGCGATGAGTAGCAGCAGTAGCAGCAGCAGCAGCAGCAGCAACAGCAGCAGCAACAGCAACAGCAGCAGCAACAGCAACACGGCAGCAGCAACAGCAACATCAGCTTTCTGTTTTGGGAGTCCTACCAAAAAATCAAATCGAAATCCAATCGGATTTGAAACCGAAATCTGAGAGCTTAGACTGATAACAGGCAGGTTTTTGGGGGTGGTATATGCATAAATATAATCTCAAATAACACACACTGAAAGAAATACAGAGGTGTGTGTCCATTTCATATATTAATTTATTCCAATTTAAAGGAAAATAGGGACCATAACAGCCTTTAAGTTTTCTAAAATTTGATGCAAAATCTTAAAAAATAATATGCACATTTCATATTTCTATCAGATGTTTCTAACAAATTGAAGAGTTAACTAATTGAAAATGTTATTCGCAGTGCAGTGAGGCACAGAATTATCACCTGGATGAGAGAGGGGTCCCAACCCGGGGAACAAAGCTCATTAGTTGGCCCAGACTCACCCGCGATGACGTAGTTAAGTGTGATCAAGGCCACCAGGCCGTGACGTCAATGATAATAAGATCCTATAACAGCGGAAAATGCCGTTACGATATGATAAGAGTTCCTTAATATTTTCCGCAACAACAAACTTGATAAGGATCATCAATTAGAGATCAAAGTTCTTAATAATAAGACAAAAAAATATCAAAGTTCCCATCGACAGCTTACTAATTAATCTAAAATTTCTATGAAATTTTCACATTCTCTACAATGTGTGTATTTCTTTTCTACGAAAACGTATAAACAAAGCATGTTACCCTATAATGTCTGGCCATTGTCAGTGGAATAATTGCCCATCATTGTTTATTTGTGGGAACATGGGAAGTTTGGTTTTGTAAATCAGCGAGCATGAGCTTCAATGTAAATAAATAAAGTTGCTAAGAGCGAAAGATACTTAAAAAACAAAACGGAAGATACGAAAAAAAAGCACTTTCTTAAGATCGCCAGCAAGATCCTTATTAAATATGAGTCACAAATCACTTTCTCCTGGAGAAAGTTAAGGTCCAAAAATCTCGAAAATAATTTATAAATTACATCAGATCCCTATTATCTTCGTTTTGGATGGATCTTCTTATTTTTGATGATAAACTTCCTCTCTCGCTCTTCTCTTCCGATGCTTCTGAAATCTTTTCAAGGCCTCCGCCCACTCCTCCGCCTGCGCCTTCGTTCTTCTCCTCCCCCTCATCAATTTCGCTTATCAGTTGAACGATCTCATTTTCACACGATCCACGCTTTACGCATGAGCGGCTTCTTTCTGTCCCGCTTGCTCTCGCGACTGCTATCTCAGATGCTAGTGACGTCAATGGGCTTGGAGCAGAGCTTGCCGGCTGGACCGGTCCAACAGTCCAAGCTAGCGCTGTGGCTTAAGCTTATTAATAGCCAACATAGCAGTTTGGCTTATTTTCAAGTTTTTGATGATTGGGTTTGATACTTGCCTAGAAATCTAATTACAATTTGTAATATATTTATTCATGGCTAGCGAATTCATTTAAACATTTTAAGCTTTTAGTTTCTCGTCCATTGACTTGTGGCACCTCTGATCGACACGGAAAAGAGCTTCTTTATAGCAAAGACAACCTCCCCAGGCGAAGCTTTTTAATAAAGATAAATATAAAAGCTTTGTAACGATCGTGGGGATCACTAAGTTTTGATTTTTAAACAAGTTTTCTATTCTAATAAATACTTAATTAATGACTGATTAAGTTCGTAGATACTTACCACTAATTGACCTATAATTAATAACATTTTACTCTTACATCCCTATTTCAAGCCTTTCATAGCTAGACGCTTACCTTCTTCTTGGCCGCCTCGGCGGCACTGATCACGTATAGATCGACGATGCCCAGGAGGCAATCGTCACAGCGGCAAACATCCTCGCCAAAGGCCAACGAGCCCAGGCTACTAGTGGAGTCCAAGGAGTCGGTGCGTCGCAGGCGGCTGACCACGCCAATGCCCAGACCCAAACCCAAGCCCAAGGACAGGGGCAAAGGAATACCACTAGCCGTAGGCGGATTGGGTGATGTGGGCGAAGGCGTGGCCGAGCCAGAAGCGGAAGGAGATGCGGATGCAGTGGAGGGAGCTGCCCCAGCAGCGGCTGCCGCCTCAATTTTGCGAGCCAGCAGCTGCTCCATGAGCGTCCGCGGACGCGAAGAGGAGGGGAACAGGGCCATGTCCACCAGGCGATTGCCGACCACTCCGGCTGCTGATGATCCTGCTCCTGTACCTGCTTCCGCTCCTCCTCCCGCTCCCGCTGCCGCCCCTCCTGGTCCTCCTTCGTCCACCTCCGCTGGCAACGAGTTCTTTGCCTAAGTCTTTTGTTTGCCTTTTCGCGTCACGTTATTTATTATTCCGATCGAGATTTCGGCAATCTTTTCTAGCTAAGCGAGAGTTGACACATACCTGGAATCAAAAAGGAAAAACGGTTATTATATGTTTATGGTATACAAAAATAGGTATCAAAATAGGCAGGAAAGTTATAGAAGTCGATAGATTTAATTGCTAGCTGTATAAGAAGTTTTGATAAGAATAAGAAAACAAGCTCAACGAGGTATTACATTCCTCATTTCGGCCATTTTTGGCTGTGCTATAGCT